TTTATATTCTTCGAAGAGATGGTTGATAAATAAATGTGCCAGTTATTCAGAATATTAAATTTATAATAAAACATTTTAAGTAGCTTTTGAATCAAGTTAGCTGAAATTTATTCTAAATATATTTTATCGTAATAATATTGTATAGAAAATAAAAACAATCGTACTCACAAATGGGTCCTTTATGATAAATGTTATCACACAAAAAAAAAATAATCTTAGCTATTTTCCAACATTAAAATCTGTTCTTATCAGCTCAAATCTTTTCACACTTAGATTAACATTCGTAATACTATAGGTGATAAATTACTTACAGTAATAAACGAATTTAAAGTAGTTTAAATCGATTTAAAATTACAGAAACTAAATAATAGTTGAAGCAAGCTTAAAAGAAATATTCATTGAAAATTAATTAGGAAAGAAATTTTTGATAGAAATTAAAAGAGTAAGATGATTTCTATGAGCTGGAAATGATAATTTTTTATAATTATAATAACTATAGTTTTATTTAGAAGTTATAATTCGATAAGTAAAGATAAACGGCTTACGAAAGAAGTAAAAGTAAATTCACAAATATTACAAAAATTTTTCTCGTGGTATTTGAATAATCCACAAACTCGAATAAAGGTATAGCATATAAAAGTACATCACAGAACTGACTGGTAAGGTAAAAGTGTAAGCACGTTGCATAAGGCAGGTAGAGTGATGGCAAACGTAAAATGCGTCCGGTTCGCTATAAACGCATGCACCGGAAGCTGGCAGGCCGCAAGAGAGCTTTCTTGAAGAAGTGCGGTAAAGGACGCGATGCCGAGTGAGTTAAGACGGAAGTTTTACTTTTCCCGTAGAATTTGCACCTAAACAAAGTTTCCGTTCGCTCTCGCAAAGCCAAAAGGAGTTAGCAAGCCGTCTCTCTCGTGCTCTCTCTTTCTCTTTCGGAGCTTCGATGTTGCGCGATTAACCTATTTTATGCGCGCACACCAAGAACGACGTGCGCCCCCTATGTTTTCAGGTCGAGCGATCGACGCTAACGAGCTAAGTTTTAAACAATCCACCCAATCCCCTCTCTTTTTCCCAGACGTAGTCCGTCGCCGACTGCCGATGAGCTATCGGTTTGTACGCCAAACTTCCAATATGAATCTCTTGGCAAAGGTTACTGCACATTACGCGTGCTCACGCGAGCCTATTCGTTGCGCTGCGGCTTCGATTTCCCCACACACCGATCGAATGACTTTGCAGTTCCTTTATTGGTTGTTCTTCTGTATGCATACAGATTAAATTGATATGTCCTTGTAGGGTGCCAATCAGCCGTGTGTAGTCAATTTCGAGAGCATGTAATCTCACTGACGGATTCCCTCCATCTTTGCTACACGGTTAAATTATACTTTTTTCCTTTTTTTTGAAACTCATGCTGTTTACAATTGAAAATGTTGTTCTAATAATTGTCATGTTATATTCCTATTATCAACATTCATCAATCATTAATGTTTACGTGTTCGCAAAGTGATTATTATTATTATTTTTTCAAATGCAGCAAAATTTGTTTTTTTCAAACTTTAATATTTTCTTAGTCCAGAAACTCAAAACCGCAAAACTAGTTGAAGATTTTCTTTGAAAACTTTCAAATTATTAATTTTCAAAAATCTTTTGTTTAGTACTTGAATAATTATTCATTAAAACCATTCAAGTGAATAGCTCGTTCTTTACTAGTAAATATTAAAAAACTTATTAAATATCGTTTAGCTTAGATATTAAAGCATTTTCAAGCTCATTTTTTGAATTCGTTTGAGTGTATGAGTTAAATAATTATCAAAATCTCAACCGTCATTTCATGTTTTTATCTAATTTAATGGTAAACTATTTACTTTTACTTCATGTTTAAATGTGGGAATAAAACTTATTTCATGATTAGAAAAACAATGATTGCTTTATAATATATATGATGATTTATGCTAATGGACTGGTATTGATTAGATAAAAATATCGAAACCTGTGTTTGTAACTTAAACATTAAACAATATTTTATTAAAAATAGAATCAATTTTTAATTCTTGAAGCATTATTAGAAATTCATAATTTTTACACTTTAAAATATTCTCATTTCCTTAATTATTGTTCAGTAAATGCATGCATGGGAATGGATCGGATAACGACGCACTTAAAAGCTAAACGAAATTCGGTTTTCCTAATGAATGCACTCTTTCAAATACGAGAGATAAACTCAAATAAAATAATCTAGCAAAACTGAAACAATGCGATTGTTGAAAAAGATAAAATAGCAAATTTACTATTTTCCGACTCATTATTTATAGAATTTTATAAATAAGTTATATTGTATTATTCTGAGAAAGGTGTATTTCAACTTCTATAATTTGTCATTGTTTCTAAAACGGTAATTATTTTCTCTTCGTAGTATTTTTGTTTGACCAAACTCTTATTTTTCTATAAAGGAGAGAAAAAATAAACGGAAACCGTGCAGATTTTTGCGGACAAAACCGTACGATGAAAGTTCGGAAAACGTATAAATATAGTTTTGTTGTAATTGTTTATTTTACAAATCACTTCACGCTGTGAAATTATTTAAAAAATCAAATTTTTAGAAATAAAGAAATCTCTATTACTGTATAAAGATATTTTATCGAATGATAAGATGTTCTCACGATAACGTTAGTCGAGAATCACACTTGGTTCATTAGTTTTCTACATTACCATGAATAGTGAAGTGTATGTTACCTATATATAATAACTGTTCAGTCGATAAGTATTGCTCGAAATTGAGAAATCTGCGAATGTTAAGCTTTCCCTATTTTAAACATATATTGTACTGATGTACAGAAAAAGTAATTTTTTGTCCGAAAAAAACTGTAATTTTTGTGTACAAATTCCAAACGGATTAAATAAAATTTTTTTAAATAAATTATATGTTTATAAATATGCAAAATAATGTCAATAACTTTTGTAGAGAATGAATTAATTATATGTAGAAAGAAAAATCGATTTAATCGAAACTTGAACCCGAAGTCTTTGTATTGTCAGATTTATACTTTATCACTTTCCTGTCGATAACTGTTGATACGTAAAACTGTACAGTATCCATGTTTTTCCAACTGTCGTACGGTTTTTGTCTGAAAAAGTCCGCATGGTTTCTGTACATTTTATGTACGAATCCTATACAAAATCTATACGGGATACCTACAAATTCTGTATAAAATTTGTACATATTTTACATGTACTAAACCAAATTTTAGAAAAAATAAATAATTTAAATTAATATAAAATTTTGTAATATTACATATCTTTTATACATATACATGCTTCAAGATCTTTATAAAAACAAACATTAATTCTCTTCAATAATTAAAATACAATTAGAGTTATATTCATGTATTGATAAGACTGTTCCAGTTCGGTTTTCAGATCCGTAACGTGTAGACTAGATAATAATATAATATAATAATATAATAATAATAATAATATAGCATAGAATATACCTTCGATCGCTGTAACGTGTTTAAGTTTTATAGTAAATTATAGGAAATCAAGTCTTACTCCTTCTCAACGGGGATATTTCGAGGTATGAGCATTGATACAGTCAAATATTGCATATCTTTACCAGACCAAAAAAGAGACCAACTTATTGAATTGGTAAATAATTTTCTTCTCACAAATGTTTGTACAATTCGAAATTTTGTACATTTAATTGGTAAGTTAGTCGCAGCGTGTCCAGCAATCGAGTATGCTTGGCTATATACTAAGAATAATTTAGAGAAAGGAAAAATTTTTTAACTGATTATGAATAACTATAATTTTGATAATGTAATGACTTTATCAGACTTAGTTTTTAACCATCTGGATGGTGGAAACAAAATTTACACAAGAGAGTACATTATACCAAAGATGGTTGCTATGATAGAACTATTTATACAGATGCATCCTCGTCAGGCTGGGGTGCAACTGATGACATGCGTAAAATATTTGGTATCTGGTCAGAAAAAGAAAAAGCGTGTGGCACTTAGCTCAGACGATTTCTAGTATCTCTGAATTCGTGGATCAAGTGTAGCTGCTGGGGACATCTACCTAATGTTACAGTAATCTAGTTCGAGCGAAAACTTCATATAATTATTATCGAACGTCACGTTCAGGTAAGTTCGTTTGATTGTTCAATTATTCGTGTAATAGAACGATATGCGCATACATGTCAATGTATTTATATGTTTATAACTTAGCAACAGAGAAACGAATTTTATTTTAAAGAACAGAAAATCTATTGTTTTCATAGTAATGTTTGTGATATAAAAGACAAAAAAACCAGGGAGAGAGGCTTTTTGTAAGATAAGAGCGATGCCAACTAGACGAAGGTCTCTAACATTGTATTTGAAAATAAATCAATACAATCACTAATTTGTGTTATGAAAAATCGTTACATTGGTTCTTATAGTTCGTGCATATTATTGTTAAAATTAAGTAGAAAATTTATTCATTTCTGTACATAAAAGTGTACAGAAATTTATATGGAGTTAGGTTGCAATTTTTTCATGAGGTAAGTAGTTGTAGATTGTAAATTTTTTGAAATGCTGTGAATAATTTAAGATGTAAAGAAGACTCTAACACAATTACGCCAATTTCCATTGCATATGCCATAATTTGAACCTAATGCGTTATTTAAAACTGCACTATATCGGATCTCGCCGACTTTCCTTACTTACTGCTTCATAATTCATTGATCAGTTAGTTCATCCAAGACTTAACATAGATGGACAGAACGTAGAAGCTGTAGGGCAATCATTTTTTATATGTTTCATTCTGTAAAGACAAAAATGAATATTATTGGAAAATTTTCATCGTAACAGTGGTTATAGTGAGTTTTTTAATGTGAAATTTATTCGGTTATACATCATACCTGTGACATACTATTACACAACAAGAACGTATCCATTGTGGATATTCTATAGAATAATAATGACTTTCTGATTGCTATAGAAGTCAATTGTTTCAACTTAACAAAAATGAAATCTAATTCAAGACTGAAACTAGCTCTTCATTTCACGAAGTATAGCATAACATTATTATGTTGTTGGCCACCTCGTAATCCTAGCAAATTACAACATTTCATTTTTGAATTGTCATGGTGGCTAATGTTTATATCTTCATTGTGTTTACTTTTTCCACTGATCAATGCAGTTTATATTTATAAAAATAATTCCGGAATTATGACGAAATCTATTTGTCTTTCCTGCGCTGTTTCTCAATGTACATTAAAAACTTTATTGTGTCGAATACGTCGCACCAAATTACAGGTCAACAACCAAAACAAAAAAATATGTATATTTTATGGTTCTATAAGAATACTATTATTGAATATTTCAAAAAATATTTGGTATAGAAACTACTAGAAGAAATGGAGGATTTTGTGGATTATCCTAGCGAGCTAGACAGAAAAATTCTTGAAAAGTATATTTCACAATGTACTATGTTACACGTCGGCGTTGTAATATGGGCTTATTTGACATCAATTTCATTTATAATTGGACCTTTCTTAAATTCTCAACCATTTCCAACTGATGCAGTGTATCCTTTTTCAGTAGATAATACATTCGTAAGGATTCTCGTATATTGTCATCAATCTCTTGTTGGACTACAGACATCAGCGGCAGTTCTACTTGATTGCTTAGTAGCAGTATTATTATGGTTTATAAGTGCTAGATTTGAAGCATTAGCAATATCTATTCATAAATACAACAGCTTTGATGAAATTAAAATTCATATTGAACATTATCAAAGATTATTACGGTTAGTATTCAGTAAGAATGAGAGAATAAAATACTCTTCTTACGTTTTATTAACATATTTTTACTAATAGTGATAAAATTAATTGAATTATTTCATATATGGCACATACTAATGAATGTAGTAAGACATAATTTAATTATACGTTGTACTTTTATTTATTGATTGTGCTTTATTTATTTGTAAAATGTTAAGATCATTTTTTTCGTTTTTTCTATTAATCAAAGTAATTATTACAATCATATTTTTATTTTCAAAGATATACGAATGATATTAAAGAAACAATAGATTTATTTATATTTGCTACGATACTAACTTCTGCTGGTGGTATGTTATTCGGTGCCATTCAATTAGCTGTAGTAAGTAGATTTTCAAATTGTAAGTAATTACAGTTTTAATATGGTAACATTGCCAGAAATATTTTTCTTCTTGAATTCAAGGACCAGCCCTTAGCTATCAAAGTACAATATGCTGTTGTAGTGGTTACAGGAAGTGTAGGTCTTTTTATATGTTCCTGGGCAGCTGATACTCTACTTCAGTTGGTAAATTTATCAAATTTATATAAAAACAAGATTTCATAGTAGATATTATAATTTGATATATTTCATATTATAATTTGATTTATTTACAGGGATACCTCATCGGAATAAATATATTTCAAACCAACTGGTATGCTATGGAAAGGAAATCAAAATTATGTTTAATGTATTTAATTGCCCAGTCACAACATCCAATAACGATAAAAGCAAATCATATTCTCCCTGCATTATCGCTACAATTCTTTTCTCAGGTAATAGCATTAATCGTTCGCACTATCTTCATTAGATCACGCAAATATAAATGTAAACATTTGAATTGCATGTTCCCGCCAACAATGCTGTATAGTTTCTTATAACATCTTTCAAATTTTTTACAAGTATGAGAATCATGATGGGGATAAAGTAGTCATAATGTTGTTATCAGCACCACGATAATTTATTTGAAAATATTTTACCTGTTGTAATTTATTTTTATGTATATATACTTCTATAAAGTTTACAAAATAATAACACTTGAAAACAATAAGAACTTTGCTTATTAAGTTATTTTTTTCCTAAATTTTATATTCTAGTTACCGATCTAATGATTATATAGTATAATTTTAATCATTGCATCGTTTAAATATAGGTTACAAAATCATAATGATATTGGATTATAAATACAAAATGAACAATGTTGATTTTCTAATGTTCTACGGAAATTGTTAGATATCTTGACTTGACCGAATTTGATTTTAGTTTGATAACTAAAATAATCTGTAGTTCGACAGCAAGTTTTTAGTGCTATATGCGTTATCGTAGATTAAAGAAGTATAGAGCATACAATACCTGTATTAATCTGTCGTCAAATTTTTTATATCTTAAAGTTGACATTGTACTATCTGCACAATTGACGTAAATTTTGCAGCATGCCATTCTGTAATAAAAGTATGCATACATGAAAACGATTGAATATTCAATCTAGTACAACATTAATTGGTAGATAATTTTGATGTTTTATCGATAACTATAAGACATAGTACAAACTATGATATAAGAAAATGATTGATAATAAGACTCACATAATTTTATATTCATTAAGAAGTTGTGAAATTACCCGGGAATCTACGTAGCAAAATAATTATCCATATTGTCGAGCAAAGCATTGTAATTGAAAATTATGTTTAATCTGTGGATTTTCTATTTTTAGTTTATGCACCGGTTTTTCATTCACGTAAAACAGATTGCCTGATACTTTATAGCTTTTCGCTCAGTCGTTTGACTGTGATAATGAAATATAGAGTAACACTAGAGGTAGCGTTGCTATTTACAAAAACAAGTATAATGTTAACAGCTATTTGGCCTCTACATCAATATGTTAATAAATTGAAACTTAAACTGATAAATATGGTACGGTGCTTTGCAATAATGAGCCCATGTGTTTATCATGTGCAGTATTTACATAATTATTGTAAAATCTATAATTTCTCAAATTCATCGAAAAAAAATCCAGGTATTTTTATTACATTCTGATTTTTAGTGCTTATGTACAGATAAAACGTATAGGTAATAATATTATTCTAATGTAGGTTTAACGAGCACAATCATGAGAATTTTTGAAATGTACAATTTCTAAATGGATAACAAAAAGTATTCATTACATTTTCAATAAGACGCGTGACGAGGGATTTGGGGGATAAACCGCCTGCCGAAATCTCGCCACCGAATGAACGTTGATGACTCGTCTTCTCGACTTATTTATCGGGCGCCAGACTGCTCTCTTTGGGTGCAGCAGTCGTCGGGAATCGGAGTCGGAAAAACGCCGTACAACCTCTCACAACGCCTATCGATTGCGACAGGGGCTGGAGGTTGCGGCGTTTTACGGCCGGGTTGTCCTTCACAAAATCGCGTGGCTGCCTCTTCGACGCTCGTTTGAACTCCTTGCTCGTGCAAATAGTGATGTTGACTAGGCTAACTCTCGTGGGCAACTTTATGTTCCAGGGCAGGGTGCGAGCGGAATTTATCCAAAGACGGACAATTATTTCTGTTACCTTTTCTATGCTACAGCGAGTCGGTTTCGTCGGAAATTTCGGATTTACTTAAGAATTCACGAAGACCGTTAACTCGTGTGAGCACTCAAATCACTAACCAAGCCTGGCTTTCCGGTCGCGGCTGAAAATTAAATGATAGCATACACGGAAAAGATGCGCAACTTAGGTCAGAGAAAAGAATCAATTAAATCTCATACACTTTATTAATTACCGAACTTACACTGATATCCCCTCGTGAAAATTACGGAGGGTTCTCGTTTTTCGTTTCGTCTTTGAATATCAGATAATGTATATTTTAACTTATATAGTTAAAACTTATATAGTTAACTTATAAAAGTTTGTATATATTATAATTTACATCTCTTCACAAGTAATCATTGCGATAATATAGATTTATATAAAATATATAAGATATACAAAAATGATTACAAACATTTACGTATATGAATATAATTGAGAAACAATAAATAATGACGTAGACCACAATTACAATCTAGTCATGGTCAGGAGTTGAAATAGAGTAAAAGAGTTGATTCGAGAACTTCGTACGTGAAGTAATCGGCTGGTTTACAATCATACTCGCGCAGCCCTCATTCATATTATAATATTGTATTATCTGGAAAACGTGAGAATTTTCGGAAGATCTATAAAGTATATAAAAAAATACAGCAATTCTGGAAATTAGGTTAAAAAATTGTGAGGCCACGAATTGCTGGATACAAAATTTTTAAATAGCTCGTGCAAATAAGGGGAGATAGTTTTCTCTAGAAGCTTGCAACAGGTTTTAATAATGTTTGTGAAATTAGCTCTGCATGTATTGTAGGGTTCAATGTAATCGGTCGAATTGTATTCACTTTATATTTCTATTTGTCACCGATTCAATTTCGAAATTTGTATTTAGAGCTTTATTGATCGATTAATTTATACTTTATCCCAGCTTGCTCTTACCCCGAATGATTATCTAAAATATACAGTGCCGCTCAGCCACTTTTACCCCCCCACGGGCAAAATCAGTCTAACTTCAAAGTTTTATATCTCTGGTAGAAATTAACGTACAGAGACGCGCGTGGGTGCGTTTGAAAGGTCTTTCGGAGAGCTTTCAAATGATATGACTCACGGTTGCCATCGATTGTTTTTTTAAATTTTGCAACAATTATGCAAAATTGAAAATTCTGAAATTTTTTTATTATTTTTGACAATTAGCCAATTTTGGAAAAAAAATCGTACGAAAATTTGAAGTACACCATTTTTTAGCTATTACCAAGCCCTATCTGAATCACTCATCAAAAATTTATTTTCGTCAAATATGACGCGCGCACGGGCATTTTTTCCTGGAAGTGACAGTTTTTTTCAACATTTTTTACCTCCGTCAAATTGTAACAATCGAAAAAAATTTATAGGAGAAAAAATGTTTGTTTTTTCACGTAGAATACTGCAATAATTTTTTTTTTGGTTTTTCGAAAAATTTTTTTTTTCGGTTTAAATTATTTTTCAAGGTCGAAAAAAAAAAGATTTTCTTTTTATGTAATTTACGATACTTGTTATGTAGTATTATTGAATGGGTGGAAAAAAATTTTTTTTGTCGTTTCTCATCTTTTTAGCGTACCGACTGTGAGAAAAAAAAATTGAAAAAAACCGAAAAAAAAAATTTTTCGAAAAACCGAAAAAAAAATTATTGCAGTATTCTACGTGAAAAAACAAACATTTTTTCTCCTATAAATTTTTTTCGATTGTTACAATTTGACGGAGATAAAAAATGTTGAAAAAAACTGTCACTTCCAGGAAAAAATGCCCGTGCGCGCGTCATATTTGACGAAAATAAATTTTTGATGAGTGATTTAGATAGGGCTTGGTAATAGCTAAAAAATGGTGTACTTCAAATTTTCGTACGATTTTTTTTCCAAAATTGGCTAATTGTCAAAAATAATAAAAAAATTTCAGAATTTTCAATTTTGCATAATTGTTGCAAAATTTAAAAAAACAATCGATGGCAACCGTGAGTCATATCATTTGAAAGCTCTCTGAAAGACCTTTCAAACGCACCCACGCGCGTCTCTGTACGTTAATTTCTACCAGAGATATAAAACTTTGAAGTTAGACTGATTTTGCCCGTGGGGGGGGGGGGGGGGTAAAAGTGGCTGAGCGGCACTGTATGAAGTCTTGCTTCTTCGGATGGAATTATAGAAAACACATAAAATATATAAAATCGAGCGGCACTGTATGAAGTCTTGCTTCTTCGGATGGAATTATAGAAAACACATAAAATATATAAAATCGTCTTTAGCTAAAATTAAAGAAGAAATTAATATTTTTTATATAATAATTTCCGAACAAGCCGTACATTGTATTAAAAGCAATGGTTTCGTGTAGAAATATCTAATATCATACCTGTTTTTTTTAATTATTTCATATTTATCTATTTAAAATTTCCAACAATAAAGGTATTACTTTTCGAAATGCCTTGATTTCTATTAAAATGGGATTAACAAGTATATATTTACCGTGGTTCGACTGACAATGATCCATACAATCGGATACCTCGATTTACTCTTGATAAGTCTCGCTAATTTATTTACGGAGCGTCAGTCAGTTTCACGTGGGAGATAAGTACATAGCTTTACAGTAGCAATTTACGTGTTTATTATTTATATTCGAAACTGAAAGTACTAGTAAACTGGAACTTATCCATTTTGTTTCTAACGAATAAAAATTTGTCTTGACTTTACCTGTTGTTGAAACAAGAAAAATGAAATTCTATGAGAATCCTAGAAGTTATTACAATGCACTTCGATTGGCTGGTCAAATGCTAGCTATTTGGCCATCAAAAATTGGCGCAAGTGTGACTGAAATACTGTTTCATGAAGTAAAATGGTGGTTCTCATTTTTAAATAATACTGTGATACTTTTAACACCGCTAATATTGGGAGTGTACTATTTTAGAAATCAATCTGTTTTAATGACCAAAGCTTTATGTGAATTAACTGCTGTCAGTGAAGTTTTTATAAATCTTCTACAATTCAAAACTCAAAATAATAACTTTCAGGTTAAAATACTATTACATAAATAATTATATAACTTCCTTCAATATGATATTATTTGAATCTTATTTATTATGAATTTATATTGCACCATGCTTAAACGAAAATATTCGAAAATGTAAATGTAACTAACGAAACAATAGTTATTGATATTTAGTTTAGAAAATAATAGCATATTCAAAATTGAGTTTATTATAAATCGGAAACAGCAAATGTACTAGGAAGAAAAAAAATCTTACAATACTGCAATTAACTCAAATTAATTTTTGCACATCATACAATTATCTATTATTTCGTTCAGTATAAATATAATGTTTCATAATAAGTATTCTAGACAACTGTTGTTCATACTAATAAATTTCATTAATAAGGCTTATATTGTTTGCTAATAAAATTGCAAATATAATTTCGCATTTTTAAAGGTCTTGAAATAACTTTCATTAAAACCAAAATTGATAATATCCATTTTCTCATAACTGATAATTTATTCACTCTATTTTAAACAGATAATTCTTCATGAAATGGACGATTTTATTCAAAAAGCAAATAAGTATGAAGAACTAACCATTCAAAAATATATCAATAGATACAAAAATTTCCAACAATTCCTTGGTTTTTCTTTTATAAGTACTGCAACTCTATTTGTCTGTATACCTATCGTGACTTCACAACCACTTCCAGCAGATGGATGGTATCCTTTTTCTTTAGAGTCTTTTCCAGTTCATATCTCCATATATATATTGCAAGTTATAGCTATTGGCGCAGTTGGATTTGGTTTCGTTATTGATATTCTACTTGCAACTATTCTTTGGTTCTGTGCTGTGAAAACTGAATTATTGGAAAACTACGTTTGCAGGGCCAAAGGGAAAACGGATATAAAATACTGTGCTTATCAACATCAACAACTTATTTCGTAATTAATTTATTAAATATAGATTTCAATTCTTAATAAACTCTATTTTTTTATAACACGAAGTGCTTTTATCAAAGATTTAAAAAAAAAACTTAAAAATAATATAATATGATTAATGAAAATATACTATGATCATTTGTTGAATAATAACTCAATATTTATTTGGTACTTCTATATTTTACTAAGAAATTACATCATTTCATGTAGATATGCCAAACGAGTGGAGATTGCTGTAAAATATGTTATACTGAAAACAAACGTAACAATGCTTCTATGCAGTATATGCGGTGCTTATCAATTGATCAATGTACGTTTTAATTGCTTAGCAACAAATTTTAACATATTTTCTTAATTTGAAAGCACTTGATTGGTTCTTCACATATAATAAAATTATATCATTTTCTTCAATAATTGTGTCCCTTATAATTTTTACAGTTTTAAACTATGACATTGATAATATTCGTATTCGTTTTCAGCATGAGCCTTTTGAAGTATTAAGTCGGTTTATACTTATGACTATAGCAGGATCATTTAGACTTTATGCAAGCGCTAAACCAGCAGATGATCTAAAGGAAAATGTATGAACGTGATTTTCCATTAAAACAATGCATTATTTACTTATCATAAATCTATTCTAATTAAATAAAATGAAAATAAAATGTTAGTGTGAAAATTTAGCTAGGTCAGCTTTTGTAGCAGCTTCAAAACAGGATTCGCTATCGAATTCAAGACTTGCATTGATGCTAGCTTATCGTTGTCAGACACCAATAGTCATTTCCGTGACCGGAATCATCAAATCTTACTGCTTAGAATACTATGGCTTTGTGAGTTTATATATTCAAATATTATTTAATTTATTATTAATATCATTACAGTGTATGCAAAGAAATATTCTCAAAAAATTACAAAATGATTTGGAAAATCTCGGCAAATCATTTTTTATTCCTGTTTTGCTCATCAATTAACATGTAATTTTTAATGCCCAACTGAAAACAAGTGATAAGTGATATTTTTTTACTTTGCATTCAATGTAATTATGTTTATGTTAATAAAAATAAAAAATGTAGTCTTTCGATCTAACTCATGTATGAGCCTCCGATGGCATAGTACATTACGATACAAGTGCGGGAAAGTAGATTCTTGTCTCGTGTGGCGTTTAAAAAGTTTTTAACTGCCATAACCGAGCCAAAAATTGCGATTACATCCATAAGAGAATGTTTGATAGTTTGAATGTTTGATTTGACATGGCTCATCCAAGTACTTTTATTGATAACTTTTATATTGACTAATTCATTATATTTTATGTATGTAAATAATTCAATAAAGATAATTAATAAAACATTTCAGTTCCTATCAACGATGGTAAAATATTTTGTGAATTTAAGAGCAGTTTTAAATTAAATGTTTCACGGATACTCAATTCAATTAGTATAAAGAGTTTTATCTTTTTGAAATTCCATGATGAATTCCTGATAAGCTACATTATTAACCCAAAAAAGGACATTGTATTTTCATTATGGAAAAATTTCCAAATATAACAGATTCTGACGCTCTTCGGTATGTATACGAAAATTATAAATATGCGCTTTGTAGTGAAAATTTTTTGTTTTAAATATACATATCTTTCATTATTTGATCGTTCCTCTCAATCTCACTTATACTATAAGTATTTCTAAAATACTAGTTTATATTAAATGATGCATAGATTAAGTAAGTTTCAGAATCATTAGCTAAACAAAAGAAAATTTGTCACCTTTCATTCAATAATGTTCGACACCGCTTGTCGCTGTATCAATACGTCAAATTGTCACAGATTTTTCATGAAGGTTAGTTAAATTAATTTATAAATTTTACTTCAGTAATTTCTTCAATAGAAAATATTTATATCAGTTTCAGTACCTAAACTATGAAATCTCATATAATTACTTTGTATGCTGCTATTGAACATTCAATAGAATTGAATTAGCTTATCATGACAAGATTTTAAGTCGGCTAAAAATCAGTATCAAACGTGTTAAGAAATATTAGCTGATATCGAATAAAAGTGTAAAACCAATTCGATCACTTCATGCATTTATTATTTATCTATCATCTATATCTTTTGATATATTGTGAATCTTAATTTACTCATGACAATTATTTTTGTCTGAATATTCAATATGGATTTATCTATTTACTGTCTACATGTAGCAGAAATATAAGCTAAGCATTCCTTATCCGTCAATCAGTTTTTAAGAGCAAACATATTTATAGTACTTTACCGATAATGATGTTTACCTTCTAATAAACGTTGTCACGAAAGGATTTCGATTGAATAGTCCATGAAATTATTTGGGTGTTAGTGAACGATAGTAGTATTCAGCATTGAAATTTGTTCAACATTTATAAGTTTGTAAAATAGATGATTATAATATATGTTTTTAAACGTCCAACATGTATTTTGTATTACAATTTTCCATATCGATAGGAAAATTGTTAAAACAACTCTATTTAGTAAAATGTAGTAATAATAAAACGGTATAAAATTATTTTTTCTAAATGATTTTTCATCATTTTTTATCGATACATTTTGCAATAGATACCAAGCGTAGTTTTAATTATAGTTATACGTTTACGTAATTTGTGTTGATTGCGACAACGAAATAAAATTTATTACTTGAAATAAAAATAGCTTTCATATTAATTTCAGCAATATTTTGTAAATGACTGTATTACTAGTCTGAATGGAGAATAATATCTTAGACAGTTATTCAAACATCAAATCAAAAATTGATCCTATCAATGCTTTGCAATATTTGAGGTCTTTAGGAAGGATTTGGACAGTTTGGCCACTAGACATTGAAGCCAGCCGGTTAAAAAAAATTTATCATGAAATTTCATTGTGGTTCATAATAGTCAATTTATTTTTCGCATCCATAACTTTATGGATGTCAGTATGTAGTTGTGGAAAATATCCTATATTAATGGCAAAAAATTTATCACAGTTAATGATTATCAATGACTCATTCTCACATTTAATACTTTATAGATTATATCGATCAGATTTGAGCGTAAGTTAATAACATAGTATTAGATGTTGATTAAATTATTTAATTGTGATTCAATGTATTGTTCACATTCACTTCTGCATTGAAGAGTGATAATGCTAAATCTGCATTTTATATAATATCATATGTTTTAGATTTTAGTACAAGACGTTTTTAAATATATGGAGATTTGCAAAAATCATGAGAGAACCAAAATTCAAGAGTACTTTGTACGTTTTTTTATCATTTACATATCTCTTATAGTAATGTATATCATAGCCGCATTAGCTTTCTTTTGTGGTGCTTTTATTTTGAAAAAAGATTTCCCGATCGATGCTTCTTATCCATTCTCTACTGACTCTGCTTTAATGTCCACAATTATTTATACTCATCAAACATTTAGTATTGTTCAGAATGCTACTTTGATCATGATTGATTTCTTAGTAATTACTCTGTTTTGGTACTCCGGTGCAAGAATAAATATTTTAGGGTATCGTTTGCAAATGATACAAAATGCTGATCAACTAAATTTGTGCATTCAAGAACATCAAGAAATTATAAGGTAATTTATTATTTATAATTTCTGAAAACTTCAAGAACGTTAAAACTCATCTATGTTAAAAACCCAATTGATTTTCATTGGCTTCGAAAAAATTAAGAAATTCAAGGAGCTATAGAATTTAAAGGGTTCATTTAAATTAATGTAAATATAATGTACTACCATATATGAGTATATAATAACTTAAACAAATATTTTAATGTTACAGATTTATTCAATATTCAGTCACCGCAGTTCAATTTATTGTTTTTAAAACTATTTCAATCGTCGCAATTATTATCATTTCAGCAGGTCTTCAATTAATTTATGTAAATATATTTTACTTTATATGTACTAATTACATATAATTATATGACAATGTAACTATTAAAAGGAACTTTCAGTATGATGCTCAGATTGTGGGATCTCAGTTTTCATTAATTATTACTGTAGCTATTCTACGAATGATAACGTACTCGTCAACGATTGACGAAATGAAAGAATTGGTAAAAGCTTTTTATTCAATATCGCTATATAATCAAATTAAAAATAATTCAATAAATAATCCATAAACTATATTGCAGAATGATAATTTAAGGTGGAAAATTTATAAATCAAACTGGATTCAAAGTATCTCAAACACAAACAAGAATGTTCAAATTTTTATTCATCGCTGTCAAAGCCCGATTGTTGTATTACATGGGCGAATGTTCAATATAATATCATTGAAATTTTTAGCTAAGGTTAGAATGTAAATAATATCAACGATGAACGATTTTGTACCATTTAAATGAATAATTAAATTTTCAGCTAATATACACGTCTGTATCACATCTAACAACATTGCGAGCTATAATAGAAAGATATTCTTAAAGTCCATTATCTTATGGTATAAATTTAAATAGCATATTAAATTATTTATTATTTAATAACAAAATCTTTACTGACAATATTATAAAGGAATGGTAAATTAATATTTTATACAACTACTATTCTTTAACGTGAACAAGTTTGTCTGTTTATTCTCTGTCAACGAAACGGAAACGAAGTGGTCTACTTGGCACATTCATCATTAGGAAGCGACTGTTGATGTCAGCGTAGTCATACTCTACTCTAAATTCGCGCAATACCTACAAAGTAATTCGATTATTAATATAAATTAATATGGTACATTTAAAACTGCGAATAAAACACTTTCGAATATTATTACTGACTTAGAACTACATTACATAAAACACTAATACAAACACAAACACAAGCACAAGCACAAGCACAAGCACAAGCACAAGCACAAGCACAAGCACAAGCACAAGCACAAGCACAAGCACAAGCACAAGCACAAGCACAAGCACAAGCACAAGCACAAGCACAAGCACAAGCACAAGCACAAGCACAAGCACAAGCACAAGCACAAGCACAAGCACAAGCACAAGCACAAGCACAAGCACAAGCACAAACACAAACACAAACACAAGTACAAGCACAAGTACAAGCACAAGCACAAGTACAAGCACAAGTACAAGCACAAGTACAACCACAAGCACAAACACAAGCACAAGCACAAGCACAAGCACACTTACAGACACACACACACAGATACACACACACAGATGCACAGAAAGACACGCACACAAATGTGAGCCTGTTAATAATGGTTAACAGCATAAAATAAATAATTAACGAACCTTTGTTGTTAACAACATCATTTCTAACTTGGCCATACTCTCACCGATGCATGATCTAAGTCCTTTACCGAAAGGTAAATAACTATTTTTAGGGTAGGATTCTTCATTGGTATTCAGCCATCTTTCTGGTTTAAATTTTTCAGGATCTTCAAAATTTTCTTCTTTTTGAGAAGAAATTTGATTAGCCATAATAATGTATGTCTAAAAGAGTAATCAAATTTAATGTTAAATATTCAGTGAATCAATATCAAAACTGTTAATTTGTGCTCACTCCTTTAGGTAATGTATAGCCATGTAATACAATGGTCTTAGGTAGTAGCCGAGTGAGATAAGGAAATGGCGGACGTAACCTGAAAGGTTATTTATTCCATGATTTTTAACGTATGATAATCAATTATAGTTTAACTTTTATTTACCTTAAACATTCATTGATGCATGCACTCAAATATGGCATATTATCAAGCGTCGCTTTAGTTATTAGTAAGTCATTTCGGGCTTTCAAATTAATCTCTGCGTGTAATTTTCTTTGAACACGAGGATTTTTCGCCAAGTAATAAAGTAAAAATGCTTGTGAATTCACTGTCTACAAAATTAATAGAACGCAATAATTCTGTTTTTTATTCTGTAAGTTAATATTTCATTATATCTCCAAAGAAAGATATCATTTTTCTTACCGCCTGCATTCCCAGTATAACCATATCCATCAATAATGTCGATACGTCATCTGGATTCATCCGCTGCTTAATCAGAAGATGGTCAAGTATTGTTGAGCGAATCTGCGCATCTTCTTCATTGTCCACTGATATATCTTTTCTTAGATTTCCTTGAGCAATACGAATATACTTTCCTATCACACTATCAATAGAATTTCCATATTCAGCGTGCAAAATTGAACACTATACTAATATAAATATTTCATTAAAAAAGACATACTTATCAATAATATCGCAAGAAGTAAAGAGTTTTCTGCTGAATGGAGTTTCCATAAATCGCCAGAATTGAAACCCAGTTTCACAGCGACTCATGTAAAGATGTGCATCGACTAGAGCCTCAATAAATCGATTCGTTTCAGAATTTTCACTATAACCAGTAGAATCAAGGAAACCGATTTTCCGATTCAACATTAATATCCAAAAGCATTCCATTCCCCATCGCAAAAGTTCCTGATGAAAATTGCTTGGAACCTGGAAATAATTGCATAATACTTTATGAAATCACTTTTTTCCGAATACTCGCCCCACACATGTTTATAGATATACGTATTCGTATTGAAAACAGGCGATACCATGCTCTGTGTTAACCGTGGTGGAGGAAAATTGGAAGTACCCAGCTTTGTGATAAATATCTTTTGATATCTGCAGTCTCGATAACTTTGTGCAGCCAATTTGTTATAAAAAAAAATAAAAAACGCACGAACAAGAGCTCATTTTATAAAATTAATAACAATCAGAAAAATACATTCTTATTTGTTTTGTTTACATCAATGATAGCTGGATTTATTATTCCATTTATGATTCTTTTTTCGGCTAAAACGGCTACTTAAAATTTGCTGCGCATACTGGTTTAGCGTAAATTATATATTAAAAGTATTTGCCATAAATCCATTGAATTCTCCATTTCGCTCCACCAAAAAATTATCACGAAACAAAGAATCGTCTATTTCCAACCTATTTTTGTACGTCTATACAGATATCGAGGAAGGGGCCTTAATCAGGACTTCAGAATCTCAATTCATCTCAATCTCAATCAATAAACATCTGTGAAGAATTTACCTCGTCTTGTCGATTTTTCGTTTGTCTAATTCTTAGCACTAGTTCATCGCAAGCCATTTCCAGTTTCGGAAATTGCTTAAGTACTTGTTCCGACATGGGAACTTCTAAAGACTTCTTTGTTTTTATCCATTCAAGACTATCAGTCCCTTGCCTACAAATATTAAGATCATCTTGAATTGCATTCTCTACACTTACGTGTATTTATAGCAGGCAATTTCATTTACAAATTATTTGCTGGAACTATAATTAATTTTAATTGCTACCCTTATTTATCTTTCACGACTGCAAAGCAAAGTTCGAAGAAATATAGACAGAGAGACGGACATTTTACGAGACCATAGTCACTTAAAATTTTAATGACGATTCATTATATATCCGACTCTCAGGCATCCGAAGAAGTAGAAAATAGCGAAGTCGGTGCGATGCGATATCGTTTATAAAATATTAAGCTGTAGCGCTTTATAGCAGGAACAAACTATTGTTACAGTAGTAGGTTTGTATTAAAACATACGTGCAAAATGGCCCGGAAAATCGATATTTTCGATAGTTCAATCGATAGTGTTGAAGTACGTCAATACTGCTTCTTGTTGGTGAGTCTCCCTCCTCCTGGAAAACCTTGGCAATATGTTCAGGTCTGTCATTAAAGAAAAATAATGAATGTTTTGTTCTGATGATTCATCAAAGAAAAAAATTTTAGAATCATAATTCACCTATGGATCAATACTACATCTCCTGTAAACGGACCATTTAAACGAACAATTGGCCCATATTCATTAAACAAGTACCTTAAAGGACTGACATTTCTATTCCACAGCAAACGTCCTACATTCGACAAAAAAATATAAAGATTACGTATGATTTAGATTACAGGATATTTTATTGATTTTTAAACAAATTTTAAAATGTCATCGAATATTCTCGAGAAAATAAATCTAACATAAGCAAAAAAAACATAAAAAATTCATGTAAACAGAAAAATTATGAAAGCCTCTACCACAAATGTAACATCGATGAAAATAATACGAGAGCCTTTTCGGTGTCAAATGAAAAAAAAAAACGAACGAGCGTACCCTCGGAAAGCCCGTTGATAAGCACACTGCGAAACAGTTGCGTACCGAATAGCGGCACGTATCGCCAATACTTCTCCCATAGTTTAAGCAATGCTGGGCCGGGCACATCTTGGAACGGCTGGTGACCGACCAATTCGTCTGGGAGGTGTTTTGATGAATCGTCGACTATTTGCCCAGCCGTTTTGTCAAACGTTTCGAGAAGAGGAATCGGCGCTTTCAAAGAAATGTTAGCATCTGGTTCCCTGAGCAACGCTCGCTGGCTTTTCACTATTGATGCATCTATCGATGCACCACCTAATGTTTAAATATAATTCTGAGAAGAGATTTTTTCGAGTGTTAACGTACAATTCTTATATGTAGTACACTGAATTCAAAATATTAACGATCACCAGAAACGAAAAAATTAAGTTAATAAATGAATATCATGAATAAACTCATGGCAATAATTCGACCGCTGTTGTCAATATTTGTCGTTTATGAATGTATAAACGATGCATATTTTATTAATAAGAAAGATATTTTATAAATTTCGTACTTAACGTTAGATAAATCGGGTATCGATATCGCTTCACTTTTGTCTAAACTGACTCACTGAATTAAAAGGTTATACAATGCACATAACGCTGTTATTTCAAAAATCACTTACTCAAAGCAGTTTCAGTGTCGAGTTTCGATCTAGCTTGCCTCTCAGCAACAGTCGCGGTATTGGTAAGCCTTTGCGAACAGTGATAAATATACCTCAAAGCTGATCTCCGAGGATGAAAACGAGGAAGCAACAAACGAGCTAAGAGTTGCATTTTTCAGTGTATTTCAGCCTTCGTAAATATTTTATTTAATTTACGTAAAGAACAACTAAACGCATGCCTTGTATTTGTGTTTGTGCACTTACTGTAATGTAGCACAATTATTATGATTAATAATTAGATAATCCAACAACAAATGTCTAATCAATCTAACACGGTAAATGCTTCGACGCATTAATAAACAAATGTCGTTGCTATGGCGACGTAACCCCATTGCTATCGTTCTTTCAATTTCATTTATCGTTGAACAAAATCATACCTATTTTCAGTGTTAATTGTTAATAAACATATACTTAAAACTAGTTGTATTTGTTGTACACTATTGAAAGTTTAAAAAATTTAATATGATGGATATAAACAAATTTATTTATTACATTCAATTGAATAAATATATTTTCATAAAAATATCAATTAAATAAATACATTAAGAATTATTCTATAAAAATTATTACAGAAAAAATCGTGTGTTGAAAATATTAATAATTAATCTTACTAAGCCTACAATGACGATTAACATTGTAATTTATACAATTATGTCAAGAATAATGGTGTTGTATGCACGTATGCGCCAAAGCATTTAATGATTGTACGCGATCTTTTATTAAACATATTACAGATTTGTTCTAATCTTGTTGACTGTAATGAAAAATATAATAATAATACTACATAATCAAAAAATAAATAATTATCTTAACGCCATGCAGAACTATATTTGATGCCGTTACACCTTGAGCATTTTAATGAAATGGTAAGTTAATGATATTGTAGATAACTGTATTTGTCTGATAACATTATCATTCCTCTGTAAAAACATTCAGGATCGTAATCATTTTCCATAGGATTATACATTTGAAATTCACGTTTAGGTCTCTTAACTTTCGTTAAAGACTGTAGTCCCTAGAATATCATAATTATTTGTCATTGTTATTTTTTGTCTGTGATAGATTAATCAATCAAATGTCTGCTCTCTTTAAAATATGTTTTATACCGAAAGCACTATGACGTTACTTTGTCCTGGATTAGCTTGCATTTGATTTCTTCTGATGGCTGAAATGATAAGCGCCAAGAGATAACCGCCAAATGCAAGAAATGAAAGAGTACAAATAGTCAATTGGAATATTTTTGATATTTTTGAATCCTTTCCACCTTTTTCTTCCCATTCATCATATCTACTAATTGGATATTTATTACCGTTTCTTTTCAAAGGCATCACTGGTAAAGTAAGAGTCGAAGTACTTCTACTTTGTGGTGCATATTCATCCTGATCTATATTTAGTTATTAAAGGAAATTACATTAACTATGTATGCCATGACCTCATTTCATGAATAACTTACTTTTCTTAGCAAAAGAAGATTTCAATTGAACCAGCTTTTCCAACGGCAATTCACTCAAACTTCGTATTTCGTTTAAATAAAAATCATCAATATAACTCATATTTTTTGCACAGCAATTAAAAATAAAATTGTGCAATATTAACGAAGTTATGAAAAATTCGAATCTATTAAATTGGAACATATTCAACTTACAAAATAATAAAAAATATTTAAATAAATTTTTTTAATTTATACTAAATATATTAAATATTAAATGGCTAGAAGATAAATATTCTAACAGAAACAACTTCAGCGTCTCAACTATGCAAGTGACACTGTTGTACTACAAAGGTGACAGTTAACGTCAACGACGCGGCGCTGAAATAATTACGATTCTTGCTTGAGCACCCAAGCGGCACGAGCATGTGTCGAGGAACGGCATTTTTTCAACGAAAATAGATGATTTTTACGATAGTGCCCAACATAATTATGGTCATTTCGATTGTCTTTTTTCTACGACATAGTTTTTTTAAAGTCCAAGACGTACCAGACTGCAGTTCATCGAGAGAGATGGCAGTGTAAAGATGTCAACTATGTTTTTCTTATATTGTGTGGTATTGATTTTCTTAATTTCGTTCACTTCCGGAGAAGAAGGTAATATAACGACGTAATACAGATCAATTAATTCTGAAACTATAACAAGTTTATGAAAATTATTTTAAATGATGCAAATTACTAATAGAAAATTTTTAAATGTCTATTTATCATTGAAATATATAGAATATAAATTTTACTTTCAGGAGTTTTTGATAAAATTAAAGCTGGTTTGAAAAATGCGAAAGGTTACTTAGAAACTGCGAAAAATATTGCAGATTTAGTTTCGAAAAGTTTGAGACAGAAAGACACTACTAAAAAACGTGGCGATGATACTGACTTTAGCGAGAAACAAAATAAGCCATTCGAAACGATTAATGTTGTGTCCACATTTTTCAAACTTTTAGGATTAGATTCTACAAAAATGACTGCGGTCGCTGTGAATAGTTTTATTTTTGTAGCTCAAGTGGTAAATAAATATACTAATGAAACTCTTGCACTAATAAAATTTGCACTCGAACGCCTTGTTACCATAGAAAATATTTTTAGATCAGTGAGTTATTTAAATTGACTCCCAAAGTTATCCACGCAAAGACTGTAAGCGACGAAACAGATCTTTCAGGCCCGATGAAACTCATCACGGATAACGGAAATGAAAAAGTAGGTATTTATCGCTTGGGTAACATGGCTAATATTATATTTATCTTGAAATATCCATACATTTTTATATGAATATCGATGGAATACTATAATTCATTATAAAATACGTTTTAGATACAAAATCTTCTCCAACAAGCTTATGATAAAAGTTTACCAAGTAAACTAATTGAACTTACTAAAGGTTTCGATTCTTCATGCGTACGTCTATTGGTTTGCAAAACGTCTCCTGTAATTTGGGCTGCTCAAAAGTCATTAAAAAATCAAATGATTAACCATCGAGATATTAGTTCATGGCTCCCTTCAAGAGAGAAATTTGAAGAATACTCAGATATCTGCGATGAGAACCATAGTGATTGCAACATCAATTTTCATTTGTAATATGTCCAATTATTTTATTCAACTGTATTTTGTATTATAAATGTTTACTCAAAGAAATTAGTACATAAAGTCAATTATAGGTCAATCAAATTTTTATTGATACAAGAAATAGATCAAAAAATAATCTGGATCAACGATTGTCTTCCTACTTAAATGCAAAAGGTATCCCATATACTTTTAATACGATACATGCATTTCTATAATTTTATGATCATCTAAAAAACTACAATGCTTGAATATATAAAGTTTATTCTTTGCAATTATATTATGGAGGGAATCAATATAATTAAACATAACGTTAAAATTGTAAATGCATTTACACAAAAATACTTTACATGTTTTATTGAAAATATTAGTTTCATATTTTAAATGATTTAATATTATTTCCAGACTATCAAGTTAAATTGTTCCTATTTATTTTGATTTGTTCTGATACTGAAATTTAAGAATAATTTCAAAAAAATATTTACAATTTTTGTAAAAGAAATGTTTAATTTCTTCAGAAATATTAATATTTCTATATATTATAAATTAATATGGATACGATTATATATAAATAATATGACTTCAATACTTGAAGCTTGACGTATATATCTAGGTCACCTATTAATGATACATTACATAGGTTATTTGAATTGATTAAATTCATATATAGATTTTCATCTCTTTTCGAAATACTAGTTATTTTAATCAGTAATTCATGTTAGATACATATTTTCGTGGACTAGTAATAAATTGTAATATTTAAATTTCCCACAAATTGTACAGAAAATATTCAGAAAATTTTTGGCATGGGTCTTTTAAAATTTATATATATATACTGGTGTAACACTAAAGTATTTATACCATTTTTTAAGCTGGTATATTTCAGACAGTTATTTCTTTCGTAATATAAATATATATACTTCCACAGTATATATAAAGTGTGTGTGTGTGTGTGTGTACGTGCGCGTATTTTGTAGTAATTTATATTGTAACTATCATGTCCATGATGATTCTAAGCTTTTTACACAAATTCATTTATCATACTCGATATCATTAGTGACTCTATTTATTTAGTACAACATTGATACTTTTTATTTGTAATGTACAGATTTTCTTATTCTTTAAATTATTCTGAAGAACTATGCTAGATACATATTAGTTAGTTATAATTTCCAACAATTAACTTTGAATAAATAGATTATCATATATATTTATGAATTTGGCATCGATTATTTTCACGTTTCTCTAGAAATATTAAATTTATAAATAAAAATTATTTATTCTAATACACATCATACGAAACAAACTATTTACATGATTCTCTATTAACTCAAATAATATTCATTATAAATACAAATATCACTTCTTACACGTTAGGAATTGACAGAATAAATATGTATGTACAACGTTAAAAAGTAGATGCATAAAAAGTCTTCCATAATTCGATATATATTTAACAAACCATATCTCATTTATTTTACGCAAATAACTAGTTTCATAAAATTCATTTTATATTAAACAATAATTTCATATCACATTTTATACAACGAAGTAATATCTTCGCACTCTTTGAATTATTAATCAGTCATACGACAAAACATGATTTTCTATTATAAATACAAATATTACGTTTCTACGAAAATTAAATACAGCTCGAGGAATAATATATTCCATGCAAATGCTAAATTATATATTGTACACAATCTATTTATTATCATGTGATTGCATTTATTCTCTTAACAAAAGATCGTTGATCATTATTGTGAAATTCTCTATCTTAAATTTATTTAATTCAATTTATAATTTCTACATTCGCAGAAACTTGTCACTTTCTCTTTATCATGTATAATAAGACATTTAAGATTATGTTATAGGTATCAGTCCCTTCAAAGAATGTCTGTATCTTCAGTCTAATTCATATACTTGGTCACTACATTTAAATATTTTCCCAAACATTAAATAGTTAAATTATTACGATAACTAGAAATTCATTAGAACAATATTGAATTAAAAACACTTAAAATAAAGTGATTATCATTCCTCTTCTTTAGAAGTCAATTGACTTTTGAATTTCAATGAAACAAGTTAATACGAAGAAAATATTTTATCTAAAAATTTGTTCGAATATGAATTTTCAACAATTTTTGACAGTATTAGATAATTATTGGTAAATAGAACAGAATTAAATTTGGAATAAATATATATAAAATTATCATGGCGACAAAATATTCAAAAACTATGATTCTATTTACCAAAAAAAGACGCTGTAAAAATTATTAAATAGGTTTTATGTGTTAATATAATAAGGTATAAGCAGAAATAAATTAGTACATCAAATTTCATGTATAACTTTTTTTTGTTTTTGAATCACTTATAATTTACGTACAATTAATAGGTTACGTTTCATGAAAAGTTGTTTAGTTTTCGATCTGATTCTGCCAGATCATCTCAGACTATCAGAGATTGTTAAAAATTACTAATTGAACAAATCTTATGTGCGATAACTTGTTTCATTAATCAAATACTCAGCCGTATAATTCTCTTTTTTACGATATTCAATTCATTACATGAAATTAAACAACGTTCATTTCTTAATAAAATTTTTATCTAACAATATATTATTAATATGTACACACACATATATATATATATATACTCACGCGCGCATATATATATATACATATGTATATAAATGTACTGGTGACATCTCCACTATACACTCCATTTCTTTTCAAAAAAAAAATATTGCACTATTTCAAGTACACTTTAGGCCAAACACACGAGATCTTTCTAACTCGATTTTTCGAGAATTACTTTCATCCTTATATCCGTGTTAGCATATTTTTATTAAAGTGTCATTTAGAGAGTTGCCTGGCCAGGGCTTACGAGATCTGATGTCTCGATTCGCGCTTGGCGAAGCCAGTCTTTGAGATTACGAGTTCGCTCTATAAGACTAGAAGCCGCCGCACTCTCAACTGTACCCACGCTCGTTGTATAACCACTACTTGGACCGTACTGGGCAATTATATTCTGAGTTGTGCCTGGTGGGTGGTTAGCCGTCAGCTGTGAAAGCAAATTCGACTGAATATTTGGGGTGCCGAATGCTGCTGAAAATAAAGTAATCTATTAAACTTGCAGTTTAATTTCTTTAGATGCAACAATTTAATGAGCATGCTGTGAATCGATGCAAATGTGTCATGGAAAAGTGATATAAAGTAGCTATATTTTATTTCATATTAATGTTTCAATAAAATAGTAGACGAGCTAAATATAATAAAATAATATTAGGCTTATTTAATATTTATAATGAATAGTAGAAAAAATAGCATTGCAAGATTACTCTAAAAATACGGTACTAAACAGTTTTAGTATCATAAAAAACTAATACTAAAAACTGTTTTTGATAAAATCGATTAAGCATATTATATAAGGACATGCAAACCAATTACTGATGATGCAGTTTAATCAATAAAAATATTTTGGAATATAAATTTTTTTCGTTAAAATTACAATTTTCAATACTTTAAAAAGAGGTAATTTGCATTCATCTCGCATTATCTACAACATTACAACCTTGGATAAGAAAATTTAATGAATTCTGCAATAATAATTTTTAAGGACTAATTGAAATGTCGTTTTTACTACAGTGATTGATGTTTAAATTAAGCAACGTAGATCACGACTCGCTCATTTTTTAAATCCTAACATCTATGCTTCAATTTTAAGTGATTACAATTGAACTAATTAATGATTTTTAAAATTAAAATTCAACTATGACGGTTTCTGTAACAAATTACTTCGAACGTGTAATATTTTTTTAGTACATTTTCAACTATTAAAGTTATTATTACTTCAACTATCATGCATTATATAAAAATAAAAATCGTATTTGAAAACTAATGTATCATGCGAATATGAAAACGAAATATCAAAGTAATTATATGAAAATGTTTTGATACGAATACGGCGATTCCACTGATGATGAATAGGTATCTATTGGTAGAAGTCGATCTAACCTGGTACACTGGTGGCTTGATTGGTGAGATGCTGATAGGGAAACCACGAGAGATCGGTGTACAAGAGTGTGGGAGGTGGTGGCGGTGGCATACCGCCGTCTTGGCGCTTATTCAATACGCCCCAAATCTCACGAATTTCCGAATTAAGGTTCTCCAAACTCGCTATGATTTCCGTTGATTCTTGATAATGAGAGTACTTGTCTTAAATATTCAGAGCAGTTTTCATCGTAAGAAAAATAACGTCAATCCTACATTTTCATATTTTTTATCTCTTTTTCATAACATTTTCTTTTTTTAAAGTAGTTGAAAGATGAAATCGACAGAACTTGCAATCAAAGTATGTTAGAATCGCATAAAGAGCTTTGAAAATATACCGATAAAAGTATCCGTTCCCAAGTCGGTCGAGCTAAAGCCGCTGCTTGCGCTTGACATATCACTTAACGTCACGTCGTCGCTCTTCGTAACAGCGGTGGCGCTTTCATTCTCGTTGCGCCGCGCGTTCGCCACTCGCTCTAGAGACTGCTCCAAGTGACGCAAGTGGATTATCTTCTCGCCGAGAAGGCTACGCGTTCGATGCAAACTCACTTCCATATCGGAAAGCTCGCGTTCTTCCTGTAAAGTTTTTTCCGTATTACATGAATATGATTTTAATTACCGCATTATAAAACGAAATTTTTATTTCTCAAATTTTCGCTATTTCGTATTTATTTTTCTTAAATATTATCTAAAAGAACTTAGTCATCAATCAAAACTATAAAAAAATTAATTACTATACGAAACTTGTAGTTTCCAAAAGACTTGCCATATTTGAAAAAAAATTGTCGAGAAAAGTGGATTACGTTTGCTATTTTTAAAAGCCAAGTGCTTATTCTTACTAACACACTTGAAGCGCTATCAAAGGAAAAAACAAAGAAATCTAGCTAAAAATACCAAGAGCCTACTCAGTGTACTAATTAAGAAAAGAGATTTATTTAATATTAAAATTTATCGAGGCCGTGGATACCTTGACTAGCTGCTCCAAAGTGGCCCTAGCACTTCGTTGTTTCCACGCCCTCTGCCTACTCTGGAAAGCACTCTTTTGTTGCCTCAGTGCCTCTCGAGCTCTTTTCACAGAGTCTCGTTCTACGTGGATACGATGCCTGAAGAATTCCAATTCCGACGGTACGTTGGTTGGCGCTGTAAATATTAATGTCAGGCTTAAGTTTCGCGTATTCTTAGCATTTATATTTCATTATGGGTCTACTAGACCAATAATTTTTAATGGAAAACTCAAATAATTAGTGAATATTTTTATTTCGTAGACCTGATATTGTATTCGTGAGGATTATTTAGGCACTTAAAAAAATTATTGCCAATGTGTAACTTTCTTTTACTTACATTTATCTTGGAAGGGGTAGCGTACAGTATAGGCTGTCTCATTACTTGGCAACTGATCGCCAATATCTTCAAGTTGTTCCAGTTGCTTTCTGATATTTTCAACTGGATTGTCTACAAGATTATTGTTTAGCTTATTGGCTCCAGTACTAGGCTTTTTCGTTAAAACCTTTTTCTTTTTGCTCATCATCAGATTAGAGGTAGTTTCGCTGCACGTCGTTGTATCGTCGGATTCAAACTTTTGTGCTTTTGTGGGAGCAGTAGTGACACTGGCAACTGTCGTAACTTGATTGACCGCTGCCGTGAAGACAACACGATGTTGCAGAGGTTGTGAGTCGACTTGAGCCTTCAGCGCATTAGGATTTTGACTGGGAACCTCCTTGGGCTTCGAGTTCGAGATGGAATTTGTCTTCGTTAACGGCGATCTGTGATGTTTTGAGTTAAGGCCTATAGCCACGTATTAGGACAAATAGTATGAAGATGAAAGAGGCACCGTCACGGTTTTTTTCCCGCTTCGTTTTGTCTTTATCGCGCAGACTCTACTATCTCTTCCAGTAAACTGTAGATCCTAGTAATATTACAATCGAATACTAAATCGAAGAATAATTTCTCAAACTAAATATTTGATAGAACAGATTTGTGCCATTACAGATCGTTCTATATTACAAAATAAATTGTTAATGACTTTGAAAACGTTGAATTATTGATGAAAGTTGAAAAAAAATTCAAACTAATAATTTTTAAACACGAACAAAGAGATCTATAAATATGTACACATAATTACGGAAGAAAACATAAGATTCTGAACAGACACTTACTATATTCTCACTGAATAAGAAATAAGAACAAGCAACCGTGAAAGTACCATGATTTGTTGATCAAATAATGACGGTGCGGCTTAAAATGCTATAATTATAACAGTAAAATATATACTATAAGTAATAAAAGTAATTGTGACTATTAATGTATCTATCAAGATAATAAGTTAGTGGATTACTAGCAGAATAAATTAATTGAATCAGTGTGTCCTTTCGTGTTTGTAATATAATGAACAAAAAATTGAGATAATGTCGTGACTATAGGTCATGATACTATAAAATATGATTTGATGCCATCACATAAACATTTTCAACGTATTTGTCCTAATATCTTATAATCTTAATTATAAAAGAAAAGAAACTAAAGTAAATAAAAAATTAAATCAAATTTATTAAGGTCACTATATCGCAACATTTCTCAATTAAAAGATAAATAGTGATATTTGCGTATAAAGCAATAAGCGTGTGTTTATGTAACAATTGTCAAAAATGGAATCGCAAAATGACGTCGTTATCGACATTTAAAAAGATGTAATATAATACAATAACGTATAGAGTTAAGCAATTTGTCTTTTCTGTTTGAAAATATATAGAGCCTCAAAAGACTGATTTTTTGCTTATTATGATTATAAATAATCATTAACTTATAACGTATTTTAATACAATGTTAAGTTTTTTTCATGTCAAAAAATCAGAGCGCATATTTATATACAGACGCATTGATCTAAAACAAAATGTATATAGACTCGGCAAACGAATCTCGAAATGGCTGCGATGAAAATGACTAAATATATCGAATTGCTATTGGTAAAATGATAAGGATAAACGATTGAAATAAAAACGTGGACTAACTTGTGCTCTGACGACTCCGTGCGTTCTGTTCGTGTACGAGTTGAAGTAGACATTTCGGTTTCTGAAGCCGTCATGTTCGCTTGTTGTTCTTTTCTTCTAGCTCTTTTTTCAATAGCAGCACGCATATCTTTCTTCATTTTTAAATACTTTTCCTTAAGAGTATTATATTTATCTTCAAGCAAACGTTTTTCACAACGCAGTTTCTCAAAATCTACTGTCTCCTGTCGAATAGCTGAGTCATTGTGGTTTTTCATTTCTTTTTCAATCTCCTTTGCGAAGTCTGCACGAATTTGTTCTAATTGTTGTTTATATACTTTTCGAACTGATCCCTCCTATAAGTTTATTAAAACATTTTAAGATTTTTATTTTCGTAAATTGTATTCTAAATTGATATTTTATCTAACTTACATCGACTCTGAACTCTCTGACAATATCAGCAAGAATTTTTTCATGCTCCTCTTTCATTTTTGTAATCTTCTCATTTTTTCGTTCATTTAGTTCCGTTCTAATGTTTTCAAACTCAGCATCTAGTTCCTTTTTTAATTGTTCAATCCTTTCATTGTGCTGTTTTACAATCTCCTTCTCATCACCTAGTTCTTTTTCGTGTTCGCTTTCGAGCTTTGTAATCTCTTGTGATCTTATCTCTAATAATTCTCGTTTCCTTTGATCAAGCTCTCCTTTCAAATTCATCAAAATATCCTGTCGTTCTTTTTCATAACACATCTCAAGCTCATTTTTAACCTTCTTCAGATTTTCACTTCGAGCTTCATCCATATAAGCTACGAGCTTCTGAATTTCCTTTTCTTCCTTTTCAGACATTTCTTTTTGTAACTCTTTCAGTCTCTCTTTTATACTTGCTTCCAGTGATAATTTCTGTTCGTTAAATTCATCTTCGAAGAACTTTTTTGTTTTCTCGATTTTAGTATCGAGTTCTTGTTTGAGTATTCGTAGCTCTTCTGCGTGCTCATTCATCATGCTGTTCTTTGATAGTTCCAGCGTCAAAGCAGAATTCTCAATTATGGGTTGTCTGTTATTTTCTCTCGAGAATTCCAAAGTTTTCAAGACATTTTTAGACCATAAAGTTTCGCTTTCTTCTGTGTTTTGGACTTTTATTTCAGATTTTCTCATATTTTCTAGCATTATTTCTTTACTCTTACGTAAATCATCTAGAAAACTCGACTTGGATTCGGTCCCGCTTCGAGGAGTTGTTTTCTCCGAGTCACTCTTAGATAATAAATCGATATTTTTGATCTTATAAAATTTATTCGGCACCATTTCGTCGTCAATATCAATCGATCTATCTTCACTCTGCTGTTTGTGCTCCTCCTCCGAGACATTTTCCACAACAAACCGCCTAGCCACGACCTTTGACTTATTGACTTCGACGTCAACCTTTTTGACAAAAGAGTTGCTGACATTGAATTTAGCACCTCCTTGGCGATTGAGCACCTGTTGCAACGATAAGACAGCCGCCGCTCGCTTAGCCGCTGTGATTGACGACAGACTACCGGTTCTTTCCTCGATGGACTGACTGTCACCGCTTTCATCTTCGTCAGAGCCACTATAGTTAAACTTCGTCACGGACGACTGGATGGCCACTTTTTGCAAATCAAAACGCACACTTTTACGCTCTTCATCGGCATGTTTATCATCTGCATATTAAAAATAAAAATACATTTTACTACTGAATATCAATTACCAATAAATGGATGAACTTTAAGTTTTCAAATTTTCTTAAAATAAGCCATTAAAAAAATACCTCTTTTTAAATAATATATTTTAAGTGATAACTAATAGATAACTACTCTTCTTACGTGTGTGCAGTAATAGTTCTAGTTAATTTTGTTAATCTTACAAATGCTTTAGTATCTTTTCTTTTTCAGTTTAGCTCATTTTTCAATTCGTACCTTTCTTATCAAAAACAAAACTTACCATCTTCACTAGCCTTTTCCCTTAGAATCGATTTAAGCTTCTCGCCAGCAGAAGTACTCATTTCCTCTCCAGAGCCAGGAGTCAAAGCGGTAAGCCCGCTTGTCCACGGTAGACTATCATCGAGAAGCTTTGGTCCGTCGTGGATAGGCGTCACGTCGCGGCTCCTATTGCTCTTGAGGAAAATCGATCCACCACCGCTGAGAGTTAGTTCCTTTGGTTGTTGCTGCTTTTGCTGCGCGGGGCCACTGCTCGTAGGCGTCGTCACTTTTATCGTTGCTTTCAGATTATTTACGTCGATGATATTTTCGTCTGAGCTGAAACGGCCACTCAAACTTTGCCAATCTGCCTCGTGACGGGGACTCAGCGACTCCGATCTTTTATGTACGTTGTAGAGCTCGGACTTTTTAATTCCTGAAGAAATAAATTCGGAAATTATGGTCTACATGCAGAAGAAATGGCGTTCGAAAAGTTTAGGGTTAGCATTTTTCTATCATAATGGCAGATATCAACAACATTATGCTTAATGTTTATGCGATTATTCATGAAATGTGACATGTACGTGGCACAGTACAATAATATATTATAATTAAAATAAAATGGAATTTACCAATTGCTACTGAATTTTATATCGCGTCATTTACTTTGCCAAGCACTAATAATTTCTAACATTTAGTAATTAACTTTTCAAAGTTAACTCAATACTTGCCAAAATCAAGAGCTCTAGGGCTCTCATAAAACTCAGGATCCTGGAAGTGTAAATTCGTGTAGTCTCTAGAGGCTCGTTCACTCGACTGCGAAGTCCGACCAGAAGTGGATTCACCGTCACCACTCTTCCAAGTTCTGGATATGCGATCGAGTGAGTTCTCAGATCTACGTGGCTCGCTCCTATGTCGCTTTAATGGTGCCAGCTTCATTGGGATTCTTGTCGATGGAGATTTGAGTTGAATTGCTGGGGGCAATCCACCGCTATCACTCTCCTCAAGCTTTGGCTCGTCGTCTGTGAATAAGTCTTACTTGACGAATGGTTCCAGAACAAATAACCATGGTATATTTGTTATATTTATTATTTTACGATTTTATTTTCTTCCGAATATCATACTGTTTTTTCAATGGAGGAAATAAATTCATGAAATATCAATTAAAATGGCAATCTTTTTAAATAATAACTTTATATATTATTAGAGACTTTTATTTTATTTTTAAAACGTTTATACAATATTTCAATTTTTTTCTTTAAAACCTTATGTGATTAATTTAGAGATTTTTGAATGTTTGATTTTCAACTAAAAACTGTTAATACGATATAATGTAAAGGTTCTTAAAATTATCATCTGAAACCGAAAATTACAATATTAAATTCGTTAAAAATGGAGTAATAATGTACTGTTGATGAGTCTTTCAAGTAAATTAGTTACAAATTTTGAGAAAATGAAATCTTATATCTTTTGGTATTTTAAGTAATTAGGAGATTATTTTTATAAGTAAACATTTATAACGAAAATTAAAAAAATTGAAATTTAAACATCAACTACAATTTATCGAATCATCAATTAAAACGAATAAATATATGAAATAGAAAATAAAGAGACTACATTAGACCTAGATTACTCCAAAGTTTCTTATAGGAACAATGGTTAATTGGACAGAGATTGAGAGAGAAGATTGAAAAAAATAAGAACACGTTTTAGTTTTCATTACTTGGAATAAAGATTTTATTGAAACTCTTTGCAAATGACAACAAGAATACTGTAACATACTATGAATTTGTATGGTAATTTTCAATACCTTCATGGTTTGAATAGTTGAGAGATAGATACATTCTTAAACTAATGAATTTTTCCTACTGATACCAACAGGAACTCGCGAACCTTATGAATTATCCATTTGGATCAAACTTTCATACTGAAATATTTGTGTACTAAAACTATGAACACAACCAATACTTTAATTTTTTCATGAACTTTTATTAATTGTGAAAAAAGATACTGGACTCGTTTCGTTTTTAATATCTATTCAATAATTTGATACCATAGTTATTACTTATTACTAAAATCAAACTTTTCGACGGATATTTTGGCCCAGTTTATACTTTTCATTTTGGCACATTAACTTTATTAAGTCTCTTATGAGTTTTTGACTTATTGCTAAAGTAATGTTTTTCTTTTTAAGAAATTATGTGCATCCACCGTTATTTTTCGAAATATTTAATAAATAATACAATGTAACTTAAAGTTATGCTTTTCAATTTTACTAATTGGTCCAGATTGAGACCCTTTTAAAATACGTATCTAAAATCACCTATCTTAATCTGACTTATTTATATTTCTATTTATTATTATTGTTGTTATTATTATTATGACTATTATTATTATTATTATTATTATATAATATTTCATAGCTGCACAAGCTTTATTAAAAATAAATATATTATACCATTATTATCTAAATTTTTAGCGATTCGATCACATTAAGTTAAAGTTCAAAAAAATAAAACTTTCGTATTAGTTTAACATTTAAATAATCTTAGGATTAATATATTTTCTACTGAAAAATATGTTATTTCAATAAAAATTGAATAAATGTTAAAAAATTTATTATCATATTTACTCCAATCACTTTACTCAAAAGAGCTTTTTTGCATTCCAATTATAAAAACATCAACTGTATAAAAGAAAAAATTAAATTGATTATTCGATAAATTGATTAATACGATGAAAAATAAAATATAACAAGTTAGACAACATAAAAATCATTTAGTGAAAATCAGTCATAATTCAAATAATTGCCTTACCGATGTAAAAAAAAAACCCCAATTTACGAATAGGCTACTTAATTTGAGACGCAAACCTACATATAATATAGATATCATTTAACTAGAATATAAGCAAATGAAAATTAAACAAGCGTACCGACGCTCGCCCGACGTCGGTTAGTGGCAGCGCGAGCCTGCGCAACCAGTTCCTTATAAACAGCGTCAAGTGGATGATTCCAAGTGGTCTTGTTTGTTGATCGTTCGTGATAATAAAAGGTCTTTGAATTCTCATCGAACAGTGGGGTCCAGCCTTTAGGCAATGCTGCCATAAGTCCCTCGCGTGCCAATTTGAGCAGGTGTGGCTCGGTGTCCGGATCGATGCCCAGTCGACGCGCGTGGTCCAGGACTTCTGTAAATAAAACGATTACAAGTGTATCACGGTCAAGGCTAATTTCGTTGGTATTTCATTCTTTGCATGCAACATCTTCAAAAAAAAAGTTTCATTTCGGTTTGTAGATTATAACGTTGAATTGATACTATGCACATATTTTATATTCAACTCGATATTGTTCTGATAATTATTACTATTCAAAGAATAATATTCGACATATTTTATAAAAAGAGTAATTTGAGAGTAGACGATACACGTTCATCAGAGTGTATTAAAATTATAAAATTTATATATAGATATAGATGGCTGAAACAAGTGAGCATAGCAAATAGAAAATCTTTAACTTAAGTCTAAACTACCGAGCTAAAAATAAATCTGTGAGCTTCTTTATTTGATAAATTTGAGGATAAAAGGGATAAAGTTCTTTGATCAGTTTTTTCCGGGGTACTCTATCGTCTACCATAATACGTCATAGCAAACCATTATTTTTATTATCTTTTTCAGTAGAACGAAAACATCTCCTAAATTCATGGAAGTGTAAATATTACATTTATAATTCGTAACATATTCAAAGTGATGAAACTATGTTTGTATAAAAACACCGATATAATGTACAGTCACAAGCATTAGAGACATTTTTTGTGAAAAGAAAACACGTTTTCCTTCACCTGAAGAGCATTAACGACACGTGCCACTTTATTGAGAAGAAAACACGAGAAAGACAAACCGATATCCTGTCATAGTAGACAGCTCAAAAACATACCGTAAAAACAAACAGTGCGAAAGAAAGAAGATTCGACATCGCGTGGGTCAATATTTTTCCAGTCTGTTATACGTCGTATAACCGCCCTTGAGCAATAGGTCAGTTCGCTGCGCGCACACAGGTTTCTATAGCACCAGGTGTGTCAACACATACACTACACATGTATACCATACATTTTATGTATACACTTAAACGTTTCTCTTTCGCTATACACATAACGAATGAAAAGGTTACTCGCGAAATAATGCAAGAGGCGAATTTTCCATCTGAAAGCCACCTTAAAAATTCCATCTTCCCAGTGCCAAACGCCTTTGACATGAGGTGAAACTCTCTTTTTATTTATTTTGTTTTGTATGAGGATGACGGGTATCAGCTGTACGCTCTACCGTTTATAACCCTCTACGCGTCTACCCTCATGTCTTTTCGTACCCTTCATTTATAAGTGAGAGTCTGCATGGGATTTTCAATGTTCTGTTTCCAAAAATATTTCAACTGGTTTTGCGAGAAATTTGTTTCTGAATTTGTCTGAGTTATTACTGAATCACAAAAGTAAACCGAAAAATAAAGAAATAATTCAATTTCATTATGTGCTTCATTTAAATTTTTTTGCCCACGTTTCAAATGGTATAATCTAGTTGAAACTAGATATTTATTTTTATTGCCAAGGTTGCTTTTGAGGCTGAATACGTTACAACTGGTACTAATGCGGCTCAAAAGAAAGCAGAAGCTATTACGGAAGTAAGTTTCAGCAGTCCATTTGGACTTTCAAAGTGAATTTACAGTTCTGGCTTGAAATTCTCTAAGACATTTATTATGCAAGTGCTTTCTAAGAACCATTACATCCTGCATTTGACGTAGCTTTTCTATATAATACTTTCAATGAGAAAAATACTGTGATTTCAATAAACATTCACTTAATGATATTTGAGTTGAAATCCTAGAAAGTAACGCAGACAAGCTCAAAGCGTTAAATGATGCCTTGTTTCTATCTCCAATGGATAGTTCAGAGATGAACCCCTACGATCTGACCTAGTTTATCACGAAAAATAACGCTGTTTATCTCAACTTTCGGTAATGAAAATCCAATCGATCATATAGTTGTACAGTCTCCTTATTTGTCTGCCTAACCAAATCCTCTTAAGATACATATCCCGAGAGAAAAAGAGATGATCACAAGATAAAGAAAAACAAATATGCAGTAACAACACAAGTCGTACACATGCGTCGGCAGGTCTGTTACACCTCGTGGAAACCCGGAAGTTCAGTGCACGAGGGTGACAACATTTTTGCCGCACTGCGGGCTCTATTGATTTTCCCTGTATGCGCGCAAACCCCACACGCACGAGCCACTCTACAATCGTATGTTGAACGCAAACTTATTATATACGCAATGCACCGTTTGACAGCGTCGCCAATCGATTATTATACTAGTAACATAAAAATGATTGAGCTCGCGATACATCCGATTAAACTGTTTTTATCAATCGATGACCGTTCTCATTACATTGATTTCTCAAACTAAAGTTATTCGATGATCATTATCATAAATTCTTTGTCGACGGTGGTTATTGAATTACTTTGATGTAAAAAAAGTTAGATTTGTCGCTTTGATTGTTTTAACCTATATAAACAATGTTATCTGTGCAATTTTCGAAATGAACTGTCAATGCTTTTCCACATGTTGACGCACAGCTTAGTCACATAATAATACTATTTCTATCCAATTAGAGTGTTAAGAGGGCTTTCCAGTAGAACTACTTAATTATACAAAATTTATTCAACCTTCAGCATATTTTACGATTACTTGTTACCTCTATAATTCTTCTATTTGTATACTAAATTAATAAAACAACAGTTTACGTATGTAGATATTAAACATGTAATCGAATCCTTTCAAATTGGGTCATTGAACTGTATGAGAAAACACATAGCTATTTTAGCATACTATTCTTAGTTATTCGTAGTTATTTCAGCATACTTTTCGACATCTGCTAATAATCTGCTATTTAAGGTCACACATTAAAAAATAAATGGTCTTCGCACCAATAAAGCGCGCGAGGAACACAAATTAAATTTTCAGGATTCCATACTACCCACAAGTAGTACATCGATTTCCTTTGTCCTATAAAGCTCGTCGGACGAGTCAAAAAAGAAAGTAAATGAGATATAAGACAAAGAAAAATATTGCCAAGAGTCAAGCTGAAGATCTTAACAAAATTATCGCCCGTCAAAAAACAACAAGCGGATACTTTACTTTCAATGGCACGTGTAAGTTTGCGTAACACATGAATTGATGAAAAGCAAACTTGTTGAAGTGTGAATAATGTTAATGAATTATTCATGAGACGAGATTAGCGATTTTGTTTGTACAATTTGTCGATCGATATTTATTCATTTGTGAGCTTGAATTGAAGAAGTCTTATTTAATATTGACTATATATACAATATTTACTTTAGTTTACGAAAAAAGTATAAAAAATTCTAAACAAAAGTTTTATTTTGAATTGATGTAAATACATAACTGACCAAAGAAACAAATTGATGTGATAACGACATACCTTTTTCGGAGGGTTGGGAGTTCTCATCGAAGACTTCCTTGCAGACGATAGGGGAAGCACTATCGTGGGAGATGCTCATTTTCGACTCTGTTAAAAAGTCAAATAGAGCAGAAATACCAAGCGGGCCGCTAAAATTTTGCAGTCCGTTGTAATTAAGCGGCCAATCGGTCCTCGACCTCCTCCTTATCGTGCGATAATAGCCACGCAGTCGCTGCCATTATTCTGAACTGAACTTTTTATTCCTCTCCTCTCCTCTCCTCTCCTCTCCGTGCCACTCCTCTCCTCTCTCTCGCTCTCTCTCTCCCTTTCTCGCGCGCGCGCGCGCGAAGACCATGCGCGGTCAAAGCTCGAGCTGCTCTGAATCGCAGCACGGCAACCGAGAGGGAGGGTGCCTGCTATCGCGATGGGCTTTTTGTTTGGAGCGCTGGTGGCGCGTCGATATAACGCTCTAAAGGGTGGAGTGCTGCTGCAGCTGTTCTTCAAAGTTACGCGGAAAACGAAAGATACCTGCGTTACCGGTCGAAAAAAGAAAATCAATGAGAACTGCATATGCATGTAGGTATGAGCGTAGATTACGAGGAGTTCGAGAACTTGCTGATGGTAAGTTCACTATCGACTTTGGACAACGCAATTTACTACATTTACGATTATCAATAATTAATATCAAGAAAAATATTTTATTTGAATATCTATGTCTTTAGTAATATCCACACATTTAAATAGTGAATAATTTTATAACAAGTTCTAATAATTGAAAAAGTACAACTTTTTGAAATGTAAGGCAATTGATTAATAATAATATTGATTTAACTATTTTTTAACAAATTTATTGGTATTTCATTTTTATTTTTTATTGGAAGCGATATATAAGCGATATATAAAATTAAGTATTTTAATTTATAAAGAAATTTTACTCTATTCGTTAAATATTGATTTGTTTCTAGTTTCGTGACACAAGTGATAGGTAGCGCCAACAAAGATATATATGCTTAAGTGTTTATCTTCATTGATATTGCTAAGAGCAACAGAGTGATATGAATAAATTATTGCCCTACAATTTACTGCATCAGCATACCAACAACTTGTTCAAAGCATTTTTATTACGAATCTTAAACATGATATGCTTTAACAAATATTGTAATAAAAATGTATCAAAATCTAATGTTTTTAAAACTTCTCAGTCATAGAAACTTGATAAACAAAAGGATATAAGAACTGATTGCTGTTTGAGTAAGGTCATTTTAGCAAAACTCGAAATTTTTCGATCTACGTAACATAATTTTAATAGAAAAAAAATGAAAACTGCTGTCAACTACTTTACCCTTGGACTCTTTAATTCCAAATGATAGGTCAGGTTTTTTTTTGATATTAGTCATTAAAATGGTCGGGTTCATACACTTAAAAATAATTATACTAATAAAATAATCAAAATATTTTGAACGTAGTTATTTAATTTTTTGCTTCAGGCAATTTCAAAGAAAGTAATCAAACATTGTATATACTTTTTTTTATTTAGTGTTTTAAAGAATTTGGAACAAGTTGATTAGAATTCGTTCCAAAATGTTTATATTCACACGCAATTATCAGCTAAAACAATTCTTATAGTTACTGCTTACCAGTTTTACAGCTTTTAAGTCGCTAAATGAGTTTCAATGCTTATAGTGAGTCACTTATTCAATTTTTTGATTGATATTGATTGATAGCTTAATTTATTATGACTCGCAACTAAGATAACCTGACGATAATTCTTCGTAGCATTTTTATTTTTTAAAATGACTATAATATCGTATGCTTTTCCACATGTGTATGCACAGTTTATTCATATAATATTATTTCTATCCAATTAGAGTGTTGAATGTAATTAAATCCTTTGAAATATATACTGTAGTACTATATAAAACCGTGCTACTATATTTATTAATGATTTATTTGTTTGAAAGTGATGTAAGATAAGCAGGTATGATTGCTATTATAGCAAAATATCAGTAGATATTTTTTAAGTCTCCTCTCAAATAGACTTTGTAACAAGTATACTGTCTTTTACGGTTCTTGACACTATATTCCTACGTATTATTTATTTAAAAATTTTTCAAAAATGTTAGCAAAGATATAACATAAACAGTTTACTATACCATTTTACCTACAACTTCATGATTGATTGCTGCGTAGCAACGAAGAATACAGAAACATCGAATAATAGAAAATATACTATTTGTTACATTATATCAATCATACGACATTTGTAAGATTTTCAAAAAGCTAATATAGAAAAAATTATTATCAAGAATTTCTGAATTATTTATATAGCAGAAGTTTTATCGAAATCGAATCTTTGAAAGTATGCACCGAACCGATACACAATGAAGATCAGATTTTATACCCTAATCACTTACACTAAAATATAATTAATAAATCAAAAATAAAAATATTGATATGTGCCAATAAATGTCAAGAAGCAATAGTCTTACCAATTGCAAAACATGATAAATATAAAACTCAAATACCTATAACATTAAGATCTTGTCTGAGCAAAACCTTACGAAATATCTAGGATATAATAGCTTATTAAACAAAGAATAAAGTGCATTCCAAGAAATGTGTTCTATTACGTAAAGCTTTTACAATTCAACATTCACAATACTTTCAACCTAAATCAACATATTCTTGCAGTGTATCCAGAATTAGAAAAGGCATACGACAAAATACCGGGAAACAGCATATTAAAATTACTTGATAAATATAAAATATCAGAATACACGTATTTCTTGATTAAAAATTTATTAAACAACAAGACTATAAACGTCCACATAGATAATGTAGTCTTCAGGTCGACTGATATTAAGAATAGAATGCCACAAGACAATATCATCAGCACAATACTATATTCCTTAACGATTGCTAATATTCTAAACTGCATTTCAATAGTGATGAAATGCATCGTCTTTGTCTATCAGGTAACACTTCCAAGAATAAAAAATAAAAACTAGTAAAACCTTGTGTAACAAACACTGAAAAAAACCTTAGAATTCGCTAATAAATTGGACTTGAAACTCTCTAAAAATAAAAGCATTTATTTTTTCACACAAAAAATATACTGGTCCAAAAGTAAAACTAAATATTCTCAATGACTTAGTCTAAATTGTAAAAAAACAATAAAAATCTTAGGTATAATTGTCACCATCTATATGAAACAGCTAAAAATGATATAATCAGATCTTTGCATGCAGTATTCAACTCTAGTTTACGAATAACAATTGAAACCTTGAAATGAGTTCAATGAATTTCTTAATTATTGAAAGCAACGTACTACCGCTAAACCTTAAAAGAGAAATATTAAAATAAACCATGTATTGAAACGTTTATTAAAAAAATTAAAAAATTAAAAACTAATAAAGGAATGTACAACATGGAAACTAGAAAGTTCTGAATACCCTCTTTTATCAAAAAGCTATTTCGTTACTGAAAAACAACGATATTGAATCAGACGATAACGTATGATACGATCAAATACGGATCCGAAATAGAATATGCTTCAGAAACTTACTTTATAGATAAAACCGATTTCAATTCCCTATTACAACACTATATAGTTATTCTCTAACCTATTTATACAAACGCTATCAAAACAATACGTACAATCGGAACAACTGTAGTTTTGCCCAATCAGGAAAAATTTCTTGTAGTTAATTGTACATGGAACAATAACAAGAAATATATTGAAAACCATCGATTATATTAAGTACTAGATAGATATATATATAAAAAATTAATATAAAAACATATAAATAGAGAGAACGATACTAGTTAATTAAAAAATATTCGAGCTTGTCGTCAATAATTGTAGTCTTCAATAGGTTAACTTCCTGTAACTTCGTATCTATATCCATCTTAAATATATTTTTGTTTATTTATCTGATGGATCTACCTGGAGCACCATAAAATTCGGTGGATGTAAGAACTTATTCGAGATCTTATTAGTTCTTATCGAACTCACGGATTTGACCATGTGAGAAGCGCATGAAAACTCTTCAAGCCTGCCTAATAATCTAATAATTCTAAACGTTAACATACCACTCACAATAAAGGTCTAATATGTACCTTTAACGGATACAGTAAAGAACATAATACTATGGTAAGAAAGCGAAAGAAGCAACGATAGGATGAAATGAAAGATGCAGAAGCTATGTTTAGGATTACAGAATTTTTAGACTTCTCAAACCAAACCTAGCCCTAGTGTTGAACAAAATTTAAACTAGAAACTTCAATTTGTAAAACATCTGAATCAACCGGAGTTTACATCTTTCAACGGATAATCGAAATCAAAGGTATTTTTTAGAAACAACATAATTCAGCAATCAAAAAGATATAATCGTAACATCAAAGCAACCTGTCATGACACAAGAGACAAAAGATTAAACGATATAAATAGCGCCGGCAGACTACATTTTTTTATCCAAAATGAAATTTTATAACGAATCACATATAAAATAATCACATTTAAAATATATCAAAGATTATAAGATAACATTCATTCAGAATTTCAAACAAAATTGAAAAATTGATCAAAGATCTATTCTAAAATCTGAAATTGAAAATGTTCAAGAGAGTATAGATGATTTTTGAAAAAAAAAAAGATTCATCACTTCGTACCGGGAATAAAAGCATTTTTTGTTGATGCCTCCGAGATTTTTCGGACTTAATGTCACTTTTACGCTTTTTCTTCCCTTGCCTCATTCCTTAAATCTATAAGAAAAATCAAACGAGAAAAAAAGCAAGGAATTATTATTCCTCTCTGGAAAAATCAAACCTAGTTTTCAATGTTTGAGACTTTACGAATAGGGAATCCAATAACATTCAAAGCTAATATTGACTTATTATTATTACATTACAGGTCTATGTTTCACCTGTGAGCAAATAATCTAGATATAATTGTAAGCAGAGTGTTGAGAGATCACTTTCAAAGAGAATAATTCTCACAGACGCCACTAGTATTATGTTAGCATCTTTAAAATAGTATGGCTTAGTTTCGAAATAATAGAAATAATATTGTTATATATTCAAAACATAGCCTTTCTTGACATTTCTGCGACATCTATATTAAGATTTTTATCTTATCTATTTCTCGGCGGAACTTCATACAGCACGATTATATACATTTGCGCTTCTATCTCCAACAAAATAAGAAATCATCTAGATGTGATTACATTTGCAAAGGATATTTTTAACCTCAGATCACAACATCCTAAGTGCCTAGTGACTTGGAACTTCAGGACTGTCCTAAATTATTTAGAGAGTTTAAATGCTTCGAAGTTGAAAGAATTAACTTATTCAGGTTAGTGA